TGCTGAGCATATTCGGCCGACCCAAAGCCATGCGAAGCAAGCCGATGTACAGCTGATTTCAGCTGATATATGGCTGAAATCAGCCGTACAAGCCTGAAGTGAATAGCCGAACAGCGTTCGGCTCACTTCACTTGGGGTCGGTTGTTCACTCGGCTCCCTAGACCCCTATATATTTCACCTGTTAAGTTTTTTGCGTGCAACTTCCCTTCTGATAAGTATTTTTACTGTGAATTGTTCTTTATACAAAGTAGTGGTACTCAGCATACAAGAAGGCCACCTCTAGTAAAATCAAATATTTAGTATATGAAATATGTTGTTTTATAATATATTTTGTGCTAGTAACTAACCCAAAACAGCTGCAGTTGTGGTACTTGAAATTAATATTTTGGATATGTAAGTTCATAAGGACGGCAGCCTCCACCGCTCCTCTGAAAAGGGATCCGCAGTGGATTGCTTTTCAAAGGGAGATGTATTAATAGCTGTTCGGTGTTCAGAAGGTGATACTGCCACCTTTGGCAGTTTTTGAATTGAATGCAATTTTTTAAAATCCCAAATGGGATCTTCTACTAAAACTGCTGGAACCGTGTACCCATGTGGTTACAGTGCGGTTCTATTCATTGCAATGGTTGTGTTTGATCAGGGGCACCACCTGACGAATGTGAAATGCTGTATTTTTTTTACAATGCAAACCATCGCAGCTGTAGCAATGCAAATAGCACTGTTTGACCCCAGTGCTGACATGCAGGGGCGGTAAAATCACAGATCATCCACCTGGTTTTATCACCTCCTTTCCATTTGTGTTAATGATGCCCTAAGGAGCAGATAATCCATAGCCTTTTGCCATGCACCATACACTATTCAGAGCATTATATATGGTTTTCAATGTTATTTATTATTTGTATCATTTTTCTTGGGTTAAGTGACTGGTATTTAGATATTTTGGTATTAGATATTTTATTTCAAGGGTTAAACATTTTGTAGTGATAAAAGTAAACTGAAATTTAATGTTAATCTTCATGTACCGGTTGCGAAAATTAAAAATCAGGAAAACGAAAGAACAGACATCGCCAAGTAAAGATCTTTTCCACCACCCCAATGTGTTCCATGTGATTTCTCTCTTTGATAGTTTCTCACTCTGATAGAATGTGTAAAGTGCATACCAGATTTTATCTATCTGACTCTGCTAAAGTGAAATCTCTTTGCTGTGTTATTGCACTTTTCATGGCATTATTGCTGTTTACATTGCTCCACTCAATCATTCCATGAGTCTCAGATAAAACATGGTCGATCAAAGTGCCGTCTATAAAATTCACAAATATACTGAACAAATAATGTATAATGTTTGATGCTTGACATCATGTTTCAGTTTTTAGCACACGCTGTTGTAAAAATACAAATCTTTCTTAGCAAATTATGTTGAAAGCAACTTTGTCACCTCCTAAAAATTCTTACAAAGTTGCAGCTGCAATAAAAGACTTTTAATTCCTACCAGTCCCGATGCTTGTGCCTCAGATCTTTGTTGCTCTCTCACTATACCATCCAAAGAATCTTCTGTATTCAATACACCTTGGGGTGTTGGATGCGCAAGGTGTGTGCCATGGTTCTACCTGCTGGTCTCTACCTCCCTATTGTGTGCATAGGGTCTGGCAGATGGAATCACACAGTCCATTGGGGCACCAAGCAACTGACACTATTAGAAGTGTGTGAGAAGTAGAAGATTGAGCAAAGCTTTTAAAGATTGTGAAGATCTGAGACATGGGCAGTTGAATAGGTATTTATTAATAGCTTTCTTTTACAGTGACCTTTTATTTTATCTTTTAGAGGGACAGATTTACTTTAAATGGCTACTGGGTAATAAGTGCATGCTAGAATCAGGCTTGGCTCATTATATTCATTGACTCTAAATGGCTGTGCATTACACTAGCATTTAGAAATGGTAAAACAGTGTTAAAGTGAAATTAAAGTCAATTTTTTCCCCTCCCCCCAATGTTAATGAAAGCACTTACCTTAAATGATGTTTCTTAATCCGATCCTCTTCTTCTTTCCTCTCCTTTTCATCTGTCCCTCCAGCGCTGCGGCAGGTCTCTGATCCGGCGCTGACTCCTCTGAGCTTGCTGGCACTTCCTGTGCCACAGTGTCTGCATGCACGTGCACGCGTCCATAGACTTACCTTGTGTCTCTCCTCGCGTCCCGGCCGAAAACCCACTTCTGCAGGCCACCGTCTATAGACATACTGCGGCCCGGAAGTGGTTAAAGTGACATTAAAGTAAATGTTTTCCCCCTCCCCCCAATGTAAAGGCCAACACTTACCTTAACTGATGTCTCTTATCTGATCTTCTTTCTTGATGTTTTCATCTGTCCCTCCAGCGGTGCGGCGGGTCTCTGATCCAGCGCTGACTCCTCTGTAGTTGCTGGCACTTCCTGTCCCAGGGTGTCTGTACGAGTCCATATACTTACCTTGTGTCTCTCCTCGTCTCCCGGACGATAATCTGAACTGTGCATGCGCCCGCCCCAAGATGCTTTGCGGCCGCCTGAGCAGTTTCGGATTTTTGGACGGGAGCGCACGGCAAAGACGGGGTACGTTTAAACCGCGTTAAAGCGTTTTTTTTTTCCTTCTTCAACTTTTTGCATATATCTACTGCTTGCTAGCCTTATATACTGTATATGCAAAAAAGCCAGAGGGTTTAATAACCCTTTAATACTCACCTGATCCCTGGAATGACCGACAAGCGCAGCGTCCCGACTCTCACGCTGTCATTATATGCATACAGAGCGTGCTGGTTACTATTTAAACAGCTTCTAAGAAGATACGCTATTAGCATAGCGGGGAAGCCTGCTGCGCATTTTGCATTGCTCCCGCTACGCTAATAGTGTATCTTTTCAGAAGCTGCATACAGCACACCGGTTTAAATAGTAACCTGCACGCTCTGTATGCATATAATGACAGCGTGAGAGCCGAAGTGGACTTATTATAGATTATCTTTAATGGAAGTAAATGTTTAGCTGAAGTTTAATCTTACTTATATTTTGTCTTCTGTGGTTTCTCCCTCTGCCTTTCACTAACATGCTAATGAAATTATTAGGCAAAAGCTTTTTGCTTTTATAGACCTATTATAAACCCATCCCTGGGTCTCTGTGCTTTTGTATGCAATGCAGGCAGATCATGGCAGGTGGGAGGAGCTTCATGAAAACATCCTCAGTACTCCTCTCAAAAGCATTCAACTCTGATGCAAGTTATGCAAATATTAAAATGCCTTAATGGGTAGATGTCAGTCTTAGGAAGTGGGCAATTCTAGGTTAATGTATTTGCATGCAGACTGCCCTAGGTAACATCTGCATATAATGCTGAGCCTCCATGATTGATAGAATAGATATCCAATAAAGGAAAGGGATGGGTCAGGGACAGTAAAGCTGGGGAGGATATAACTAGACGATGCTGGAAAACTCACAGTGTTCAGTGACATCAGAGTAAGCAATTTAAGTACAGGAAAGCAGTCTGTACAACCATGCAAGAGTGAAAGGAAAATATAAAGGCTGGCTTTGCGGTGTCCATTTTGAAAATGCTAGTTGCCTGGCCACCTCTTACTGCAGTACTTTGAGTCACTGACCTGGAACAAGTATGCAGCAGGTGGTCAGAGTAAAGCCAGAATTCTTGATCTACTTGTACATCTGCTTTTATTAAGCTGGCCATACACATATAGATTTTCTGCAGATTTTCTAAGGTCAGATGGAAAAAGTGCAACAGATTCCTCCATCTGACTAGCAAGATACTGAAGCTTGGCCCAGTGAGAGATTCCTCCATCCACACAGGTTGGCGTAGATGGAGGAATCTGTTGCACTTTTTCCATCTGACCATAGAAAATCTGCAGATAATCTATACATGTATGGCCAGCTTAAATCTGCATGCCCAGATTTGTTTCTTAGAAAATATTAAAAGCACTCGATTTTTGTGACAGCCAAGGAACTAGCAGAAGGAGAAGACAGTAATGATAGCCCCTGTATTTTTATCAGCAGGTTTCCTTTAAATTCTTTAACTGGATTACTAACAATGAGGATTTAGAAATATGGGATTTTGAAGGTGTCAGAGAATAAGGAATATACAATCTCAATCTGTATAAAAGATCCAATTTTATTTACACATTATTATATTATTATTAATAGGATATTATTATTATTATTATAATAGTTATTATATTAATATGTACATAAACTTGGAGCTTTGTTACAGTTTAAGATATATTATGTATATTCCTTATTTTGTTGACTCCTTAAAAATCCCTCCTTTGTGCATTGCATTTGGGGGATGTGGTGTCTTTTTATACTGAATCGGTAACAACTTATATTCAGAAATGTGACACTTTAAATTGAATATGAACACTGATAGTCAGGCTGTCTAAATAAAGTGGATAATTACCATCACACACACACCTGTCATAAAAACAAAAAACTTGTATGATCCAACAACAGATAGAAGTCTGAAAGACTTGTCATGGCATTATGTAAATTAGCTTTTGGGTGATATAACAAGTCAAAGAAGAGCTAGGACATTGCCTAGGAAATAAATCCAGTGTAAGGAAAGGTCTTGGAAGCACGGTGGAGATAAGTAGAGCATAAAGCACCTGCATAGCTGTGCTAAACCTTTAGACATACGCTGTGCCTGGTCTGGCGTATGCTGTTGTGTGTGGGTGAATTCTATTACATTTCTGTGTGGCAGGTTTAGAAATTGACATGTAAAGTAGGCAGAAGCTAACTTTATCCCTTCTGGGGCCAGCAAATAGTCCCGTTAAGTAGGTCAAAGGAAAAGGTGACTTTCCTGTTAAGCTGCAATACAGACCGAATGACATTTGCTCCTAGTTCTTCAAATGCAGCATTAAATGACTTTATCTAGATGATGTACTGTTCAACATATAGCTGTCACATTTAACAAGATATAGGCATGTGAAAATACTTTGCAATCATTTTCGTTTCCATTCCAGTAATGTAAAATAGTAAGTCTTTACCTTAAAGGATATCTCATACTGCTCTCCTCCCCAGATTTCTAAGCCAGGATCGTAGCCTCCCAATTCCCAAAACCATTTCCGATTAATGGCAAACAGCCCTCCGGCCATAACAGGAGACCTGAAGAAAAAGCATTTATAAATCAAAAAAATGCTATGTACCTGTGTGCAGAAAAGAGATGTGTAGATACCAATCCCAACATGTCCACCACCCATATAAGATTCACCGCAAAGCAATAAACATCTTAAACTGTAAAGTTACTTAACATTCCAGCTTATGACACAGATAAGTAGTAATGTCAGAGACTACTAAAATGCATATGTATGTTACTTCATACATGTATGTTTTTATGACTTTGATGAAAAAAGTGGAAAACTCTCTTAGTGGAGTACTACATGTCAGTGATATAGTTATCCTTGTTGAACCATGATAAGTCAGCTACTTGGACTGATAATAGAATATATTTTTATATAACTAATATGTATGTCTAACACATACAGGCATGTTTACCTCTTGCAGAGATCACAGTACTCTCTGTGATAATGCCTTCATCTGCCTTTCTCTAAAGAATGACTAATTTTTGTTCAGGAATCATCCAGGGTCACCATTACGGATGAGCTCGGGTCAGAACTTGAGTTTGTGCAAACCCAGAAGGAAGCTGACAGTGCTGGCTCAATCAACTGTTGACTTTATGTGGCCACATGGCTGACCAAATATGGCCATGTGGCCATATAAGGTCAATGATGTCACTGGCATCCCACCTCTTTATTTACTTGCAGCTTCAGGGCAGATAATTCCCTGGATACAGCTGATTGTGAGGGCTCTGACAGCTTCCTTCTGGGTTTGGATGAAGTCAAGTTGTGACCGAATCTGACTTCAACCCTAGTCAGCATCTTCTTCCTGGACTGAGATTCTGGCTCATAGATGACGCAATCATGTAAATCTTGGTGTCAGCGTAGTTCTAGGCTGTGTTCACAAATATCTGGCAAAGATCAGCCCCTGTTATAGCCTCTCACTTTGTGACTTGCTACAAAATTATTTGACTGTTTTTAAATAAATTGTATAGCTTTCTTGAAAAAATATTATTTCTATATATTGTGAAATGTCAGAAATGTATTTATGTACAAATGTAATATTACTTAAATGTCCAAGAGGCTTTCCAATTTTACTGCATGCAGAAAACCTTTTTTAAAGGGAATTTCCAGGTTAGAAGAACTCTGAAGCCTTTAGCTTCAGCAATAGAGTCCGATAAGTTAATACTGGGACAATCACATCGAACAATGATGCTGTGCAGGTAAATATGCATGTGGCCTGGGTGCTTCATGGATTCCTCCAAAGCCAGACAAGAAACAAAATTACAGAAACTCTTAGAAATAACCTGTCTACTTCTATTTCCTTAGTGCATACTCAGGGCGGGGGGCTTTTTCCATTTTTTATTGTATTTCCATTCACATTTGGGCTGTATGGCATCCTCTGTGTCACCATTGAGATTTTCAAAATCAAGTAATAGATTTTAACATAAACATTATATTCATTATAATGTCTTTCGCTTGTTCTTGCTCTGTAATAGTCAGTCAATGCTATATTGGTTGCAAGGTGGCTCAGCAGAGGATCAATAAAAAAACAGAGCAGAAAAATAATTTCTTCCTGTGATATGACTTCTAGTCAATGCATCACCAGCTCAGAGGACAAACATGAATTCAGTGGACTGCAGGCTCCCACACCAACTTTACTGTCTCAACCCTAAATGAGACTGCTGGAAACATGTACAATCATATTTTGATTATGCTCTGATCTTCGTGACATTCACTGTCAACTTTGCAATGGTGCTTGAAATAAAATTGAAGGAGAACAGTGCACAGCTGACAATCAAGGGCAACAACTTTGGCAGTCATACAGAACGTCAAATGTCTTCCAGCTATTCCTGTGTCTCATTTTCCTTTGTCAGCAGGCTACAATTTTAATGTAAAAATGGCACTATAGACCTTAAAAGCCGGACAGATGGCAACCGCAATGGCTTGCTGGTAAATAGCATTGCTTCCCCAGCAATAATTTGCTATGACCTGGTACAAGCCAAGTAATGGAAGCAGTTACTTTTGACAGCAAGGGTTGATCACCGTACTGTTTTTGTTGTTTTGCTGTTCATTGTTAATGACTTGACAAGAAACCTTGAAAAATGTATGGTAGGACCTATGGAAGAGATTACAGCAGTGTGGGAAATCAATTGCGCATTACAATGCACTTGTGTCACACATGGGACGTAATTTAAACAGCGTATTCCTACTTTTGCAATCATGGCATATACTTTCAGCTAAAGTATCTCTTAAAAAAGGTACAATGCTAATGATTTTATGGTGCAGATAAAGGGAAATGTCATGTCAAAGTGTCAATAATACATGACCCAGTAATCTAGGAAAATTAGATCAGTTTAGACTGCTATTTTAATCTGGCAATAATCAAGCTGTGTGACACAGATGACTCCTGTGCTTGAGTATAAAATGTCATGGATCGCTCTGCCCATTTTTTTTCATGCCATGACAGCTTACTGACCTGAAATGGCATGAAAACAAATGGGTAGCCCAAGTCCTGTGACATCACTGGACTAGCCCCACCCATCTGTTTACATTCAGGCAGGGTCAAATCAGACATTTAGCAGTGGCAGTTCGTCGGGAGCGGATGGGTGCGTGGGCGTCTGAACTTTTTTTTATTTTGGCAAGTCGGCGGGCATCATTTATCGTGATTGACACTGGATTACATGGCTGGATGACTTGATTGACCATGGATGATTTTTTTTATGTTTACTAATAAAGGAGTTGTTAAAAACCGTGTTTGTGTTTTTTGTTCAATTAAACATTTTTTTCAAAGGTGTGGTGTGTTTATTTACTTTTGATTTAACCGTTTGCTGAAGGAGTAGGGGTAACAACTAACTCTTACTCATTCACAAGGAGGATGGCATCTGGGTGCACTCTTTATGAAAGGAGGTACCCAGATGCAGATGAGCCCCCATGTCGTAGACCCCCACAACCACCTGACCAGGATTGTGGTGAAGAGGCCCTTGTCCTCATCAGCTGAGGACATGTGGCCTGGTATGGTGCAGGGGGATGGGGTGCTTACTCATCCCCCCTCCCCTTTCCTGCTCTGCCAGGTCACTGCTTGGATTAAGGGTCTGGTTGGGAATTTTACTGGGACCCCACATTTTTTTTTTTTTTTTGGGCCTTAGGCAGCTTAGTGAATAAACCCTATGTTTTTTTCCATTTAATGAGACAAAACAGAAGACTATATTTTGCCTGGAGCTCTCCCTCCTCTCTTGTTAAAGTTGCTGCACCACTCCCTTTAGATCAGTACTAGCTGTATTGTAATCAGAATCTAATACTACCTCCACCATTTCTTATCATTATTTTATAATTATAAGTATTATATGTGAGCATTATTTATCATCGATACTAGTGTTTTATATAGCATAGATTTACTATTGACTTTTCCCTATATCTCTTATCTCACCACCGTTTTTTACTTTTTCCATTTCCCTTGCACAAGATTGCAAATAGACTAGAACGATGGATAAGTGCACAACTGCTTAGTGGTCACTGTATGGAAAACAGAAATATGAACTGGGATATTTGGTGTGCAACCTCCTAATAACAGGGAGAGGACCCTCCATATCAATATCAATGCTTTCAGGCTTGAGAAAGAGGCTGTGCCTCGAAACACGCAGCCGCTATTGCAGTGAGAGCCTTCACCCCTTCACCACCTCGCACGTTTCTTCCGGTTGATGACGAGTCACACCGCCGACACACCAGCCGGACCAAACCCGCGATACACACGGTGCCTATTACGCCACTCTATAGCCGTTCGCGGCTCCTCTCCCTTCCTAAGCCGCTGCTGCTCGGCCTGGCCAGCCGAGTACGCGGGCTGCAAAACCGCTTCATGATGCCCCCAGACCTGTCACTATCCACCCTGGGAGCTATCCATCCTTGGACCCTAGCTCCTCCCCCAGGCAGCAGACACTTAGGTGTCAGGACGTCTGCTGACATACCAGCCAACTTCCGACTGTAAGTTCCATTGTCCTTTCTTTACATACCACAAGTCATCAGTTTCTTAGGGTAGTAGCGCTCCTACAGTTTGTTTGGTTTCTTGCACAAGATTGGGCAAGTTAACATAGTTTACTTATTTATTAAGAGTGAAAACATTAACTTTGCTAAGTAAACACTGAACTCCAGGCAAGTAGTTAAATGTACAGATGAAATACATACATGGGATCTGTTGTACCTACCAAAGGAGTTGTAATTCTGTTCATTCAGTACTGCAATTATTATAGCCATGCCAAATAGCACAGCCAGGTGGATGACACCACTTCCTCTTCAGTCATGGTATACAGTGGTGTCCCCTTACCACCACCAGACTGCTGACTGGACAATGAAAGAATAGCAGTAGATTGATGAGATCATAACTCTGCTCATGTTTCTGTCTCCTCCTATTGGCAGATTAGCATGCAGCATGAGTGGTTCGCTCCCAGTGCTACTCCTCCCTTTCCAAATCTAATGCAGGAAGTTGTTTTTAAAAATGGAGTCAATGATTTATTAATTAATACAGAGCTGCACCAAATGTTGTCATTTATATTTGCCTGAAGTTCAGCTTGAAAAATGAATTGAGCTTTGCCTTCCAGTGTAGTCTTTAAATTACTAATCCAATAGTTATTACCAGACCCAGATAAATAGCATAATTAAGCAATGACCTCCAAAGCATTTCTATGCCCCACTGCCTTATGATAGCTTAAATCACATATTTTATAATACATAATAAAAAACATAAAAGTGCCAAAACACAGAGGCCATTGAATTGTTCGGCAGATTGTAACACTGTATTACATGTGTTAGTCCAAGGACAGAGCCTTAGGGAACCCCTACGGAAAGAGGAAGAGGAGGGGAGGAGTTAAAATTGTAGGTGACACTAAAGGAGCACATAGATAAGTAGGAGGAGAACCATGAGAGAGCAGAGTCTTGTAGGCCAAGCGAGTGGAGTTTTTTGAGGAGCAGCGGGTGGTCAACAGTGTCAAAAGCAGCATAGAGGTCTAATAGCAAGAGTAAGGAATAGTGGCTGTTGTTTTTAGCTGTTATTAG